ACACATTATTTAGGGGCTCTTACCCAATTTATAAACAACTTTGAGCCGAGAGCTAATTTCAAATAACTCTGACAGACCCGAGATAAATCCGTGGTCAGCTATTTCTGCCAAGCAGGCCTCCAAATCATTCCCACCCAGATCAATTTCACGCAGTCCGAATCAAACGGATGCTGTAAACATCCAACCGATATTGTAAGCAATCGGGAGTCCAAGCGAGCCTGAGTCCGCTAACGGAAACAAAAGATCCCCAAAGCGAGTCCCGAGTCCGCTAACGTAAACAAAAAGATCCCCAAAGCGGTCCCTAAACTCCGCTAATGTAAACACCAATTTCCGGCCAAGATTGGACTTCGAATTTAATTGGCAAATTGCATCATCCTAATTTCCGACTCTCTTGAGTCATTCTCTTTATCAATTTTTGGGGATAAAATCTCTTAAGCCGAGGTTTGATTATTGATCATTGAACTAGAGAGCAGGCAGTCCGTTTTTGAGATTCGAATCGAGCAGTACAACAATTCGAGAAATAATACAAGAGCAGTGAATTAAATAAGTTCGGCCTATTGTAAAATTGTAATAGTGAATACGTGATTGTTAAAAATAAAATAAATTGTTGTAATTCACTAGTGAGAAACTTTATTGGCGCCCACGTGGGGCCGTGTGATTAAAAAACTCTAAAGGAAAGCTTTTAAATAAACCCGAAAAAGTTTAAAGGTGAAAAAGGAATTTTGCGCGGCCAAAAACCCGATACAACCGACGAATATATAAAGCCTGTGTTGATAAAAATAAGGTGAAAATTAATAATGCAATAATCCTCTTAAACTCTATACAAACTTAGGTGGAAAATAATTAATGGAATAATCCCTTAAATGTCAAATTACAAAATAGTGACCGTAACATAAATTCACTGCTCGGAAAATATAAAATAATTAAAAAGTGACAACAAAATTAAACAAAACAAATAACCATTGTGGAAAACAATGTAATTAAAAAAATGTTAAAAACAAAATTTAACAAAAAAAAGTCTTCGAAATCATCAACAAAAAAACATTTAAAGAAAAAAGGCTGAAGGGCAATCCCTCGCCAAGAATAAGCACTGAAAAATGAAGGAAGACACCAAATTAAAAACCGAAGAAAGAAGGAAGACCCAAGATACAAAAAAGGAAGAACGACCCCAAGCAGGATCATCATCCAAGAAAGGACGACTCCAAGAACAACAAGAAGAAAATAAGGGGGACGATTCGTGAGCGATACTATCTTTTTTTTATTATTATTATAAAAAGAAATATAATTATACAAAGTGGAAGAATTAATTTCTGATTTCGAAAATATTCTCAAAATGTCAGAACCTTCAACAAGCCAGACTGGAGCAAATAAAAAACTACACATAAATCCGCCTCAAGAACATCATCAGGCGATTACAAACAATACAATGTTAAATGTAGGAGATTTAATTAAACAAATTGTAAACTTTGAATTGAATCCATTAAAGGAAGAGATCGTTAACTTAAGATCGCAGCTTTCTCATAAAATTAAATCGGTTGAGGATTATCAGATAGAGATTATAGATCCAAATATCAAGTTCGACACATCTTATGAGATCATCAAATCTGTTAGGGAATATAAAGGAGAAGAAGATAAATATGTAAGCTGGAGAGAATCAGCTAAAATAGCCATGGGCCAATATGCCAGAGGGAGTGAAAGATTTTATTCCGCCTTATCAATATTAAGAAACAAAATAACAGGAACGGCAAACGATGCCTTAACCCACAATGGTACGGTATTAAATTTTGATGCCATAATGGGCTGACTTCACTTTGTCTTTAGCGACAAACGTCCAATTCATATTATTGAACAGGAATTAAGTGTTTTGAGTCAGGGAAAATTTTCCATTATGGATTATTATGGTACAGTTAATAGAAAATTAACTCTACTTATTAATAAAACAATTATGACCTACGGTAGAAACAAACCGATAACAGCAGAAATTAATGAAAAACATAGGAAGACTGCTCTTAGAGTTTTCATTACCGGCCTCAACGGCCAAATTTCAGATACAATTTTCTCAATGAATCCACCTGACCTACCGAATGCAATGGTCATAGTTCAGGAATTGGAAAGCAACAACATGAGGGCGCATTTCGCAAATAGTTTCTCAACCACTCAAAGAAAAAATAGTGAACCAAACTCTGGTGGAAATGGTCAAACACATTTCAACCACAAGCAAAGACAACAAAACAACAATTACAACAACCAGCGAAACAATAATAATTTAAGGTTTAATCATGACAACAACCAGAACAAAAATACTCATGGTTATTATAATCAGAACAAAAATAATTCCTGGAACCAGGGTAGATTTAACAATAACCAACAAAATCAGTGGAACACCTATAGGCAGCCACAAAATAAGCCAGAGCCAATGGAGGTAGACGAGTCTATCTAGGTTCAGAATAAAGCTAACAACGGCTATAATCAAAACTATAATAAATTTCAAAATAATAATTATAGCCAGAACAAGTGGGATCAAACAAAAAATTTGAGACCCAGAACACTCAGCAAGGACAAGCCCAAAATAAAAGGGTACCAACTGGAACTGTTAACCAACCGGCTAACAAGACAATGAGACTAAACAATATTGAGGAGAACCATTTTTTTGACAAAAGTCAGGAGTAGGCTTAACCTACTTATTTAGAAATGACCCGAAAATAAATAAAAAATTAAAAATATTAATTGACACTGGGGCAACCTCGTGTTATATTAGAGCAGGAGTTTATAAAAAAAAGAATGAGCTTCCAATATACAAAACAGTATCCACAGTGAATGGATATTCAATAATTAAATATTATCATATGATAACTATTTTTGATACGCGATATACTTTTTATGAAATAGAAGGGCTAGACTCAGATCTACTGATCGGCTATAACCTATTGAAAAAAATAGGAGCTGTGATTGACACAGCTAAGGGAGTTATTAAATACAACGGAATAGAAGAAAAATTAAATTATGACAACGGAAACAATTTAAACCAACATTCTTTAACAGAAGAAAACACCATTCTTCCATTAAAAGAGTTTATATTAAAAAAATTCTTTGATGAAAAGGCTCAAATCAAATCCGAATCTGAAATGGGTAATCAAAGCGAATTTAGTTTGGGATATACAAATCCTGAACATGCCGTCGTTGAAAAATCCGACAAAAATAAAAGTTTGGAATTAAAAAATTCCGAACACGCCGTCGTTGAAATATCCGACAAAAATAAAAGTTTGGAATTGAAAAATTTTGAACATGCCGTCGTTGAAAAATAAGCCAAAAATAAAAGTTTGGAATTAAAAAATTCCGAACACGCCATCGTTGAAATATCCGACAAAAATAAAAGTTTGGAATTGAAAAATTCTGAACACGCCGTCGTTGAACTATCCGACAATCAAAAAATAAACAACATAAAAATATCATCTGCAGATCAAAGAAAAGATCTGGAGAATGAAATATTAAATATTATAAATGAAGAGCATTCAAAAATAAATATGCAGATTCCTTTTAGGACAGATATACGCGGTGAAATAAACACCGTAAATGATAGGGCCATTTACAGCAAACAATACCCTTATGCTCTATCAGCTTAAGATTTTGTAAATTCTGCAATAAGTCGAATGCTAAAAAAAGAAATTATAAAGCCAAGTAGATGTCCTTATAATTCCCCTGTACTAGTGGTACCAAAAAAGGGTTTCAATGAAGATGGAACTCCAAAACTAAGACTCGTAATTGATTATAAAAAAACTTAATGAAAATACTATACCTGATAGGTATCCAATGCAGGACCCTTCAGTGATTTTATCTAATCTCGGAAAAGCCAAATACTTTTCAACAATTGTCTTGGAATCTGGATTTCATCAGATTCTCATGAACGAACCTGACATTCATAAAAACCTCATTTTCAATAAATAATGGGAAATACGAATTCCTAAGAATGCCTTTCGGTTTGACAAACGCTCCTAGAATATTCCAACGAGCGATGGACGATATTTGAGAGAACAAGTGGGTAAAACATGTCATGTTTATATGGATGACATAATCATATTTTCAAAAACAATTGAGCAACATTACAAAGACTTAATTGTCATTATTAAAATTTTGCTGAACGCAAATCTGAAAATTTCGATTGAAAAATCAAAGTTCTTTAAATTAGAAACAAACTTTCTCGGTTACGTTGTTTCTCACAATGTGATCAAAACCGATCCCGAAAAAATTTCTACAATTGTAAAAAATCCGATCCCTATTCGAGAGCTTAGCACAAGAAGAACTAGTACAACCGGACTATAATAAAAAATTTACCCTAACAACTGACGCGTCTGACTTAGCAATTGGTGCGGTTCTTTCTCAGGAAGGAAAACCAATTACATTTATTTCAAAAACTAACCAAAACTGAACAATTATAAGCGACAAATAAAAAGGAACTTTTAGCCATAGTATGGGCTTTTAAAAACCTTCGAAATTACTTATATGGGGTTAACAACATCGAGATCTATACCGATCACCAACCTCTTTCATTTTCCATTTCTCCTTTATTGAAAGCTATTCACCCAAAATTATTTATGAGCCAGGAGCAACAAATGTTGTTGCGGACGCTTTATCAAGGATCCAAATTAATAACTTAACGGAAAGTAATGAATCGGTCTCAGATCAAAATACTCAGCATTCAGCAGAGAGTAGTTCTGAGAATGTTATGCAAGAAACCCGAAACCCTTAATTCAGTTTAAGCAACAATTGCTAATAGCAACGGGGAGGTAATGCAATACATGAGTCCATTAAGGGGGGCACTCTATGAAACAGCAGAAAAGATTGTCAGTTTTCTTCTTTTTATTGTAAATCATCCAAAAAACACAGGATATTCCCGTTTACAATATCTTTAGACATAAGTCTGAAGTTAAGAAAACAAGGTTTTGTTTGTAAAAAAAATTAAAAATGGCGGACATATTGAACATCGCCCACGGCTGGTTTTAAAAAAGTTGTCTCCCCGTCCTCACGATATCGTCTCAAGTTGAAGTCTGAAACATACAAATTATATATCAAATTAAACAGCAGGCTTGTCTCAAGTGCATGAACCTCAAAAACTATTGAAATTTTTTAAAATTAGCAACAAAACCATATAAAAACAAAAAAGTGAATTTTTACTCTGTTGTTTTTATTGAAAAAACATTGAAAAAAAATTTTTTTTCATGCATTTATGTGGTTCATGCACTTCTCTGTTCAATATCCTACAAAATGAGTGTTCATTTTTGAAAATCGGTTCAATGGTTTTTTTTTTATCGTGAAGACGGACTCTAAAAACGTGGTTTTGAGAAAACGCGCTTCAAAGTTTAGGTTCAGAAAAAAAGATAGTTCAAGGAACACCTGGCATGACTATGCACGAGCAAATTCTAGAAATTATATCTCCGAAAGTAATAGGAATTCGACTTTGAAACTTTGCAATTATGTTCTCAGATAATATATCTATCGATTAAAGCAATAAAAAAAAAATCGAATTTTTGAACCCATTTCATAGAGTGCCCCCCTTAATGTATTCGGAAATACTAGACATATAATAGAGTATGACACTCCAGAAAATTTAATATCAATATTAAGAGAATATATTCCACCCAATATAACAATAGGAGTTCACTGTACTCTAGAAGATTTTTATAGAACTCTAAAACCACTTAAAGACAATTTTATAAATACATTTTTATACACTTAGACATTTGTCCAGGATGTCGAAGACGCTGAAGACAGTTTCACAGAAACTCATTGTAGAGCTCATAGAGGGCTTGATAAAAATTATAAACAAATAACTAGACTATATTATTGGCCTAATTTATACAAAAAGCTTAAGGAGTTTATAAAGAATTGCACAATCTGCAATCAAAACAAATACAACAGACACCCAGTACAGATTCCTATCGGTCACGCGCCTATTCCAGAAAGAGAAGGTGAAAATTTGCGTCTTGACATATATTACGCCCAAAATCTTATATTCATTACTTGTATAGGTTCCTATTCGAAATATTTGGTCGTAAAAGAAATCCTAAATAAACTAAATATAGAAAATAAAGTTTCAGAAATTTTACAACAATTTCCATTAGCCAAATCTTTGATGATAGATAACGACCCAAGTTTCTCTTCATCCCAATTCAAATCTTTTGCTCAAAGACATGGGATATCTCTATTCCTTGCAGATCCTCGACATAGTACGTCCAACGGACAAATAGAAAAGGCACACTATACTTTAACAGAAATTGCTCGCTGCATTAAAGATGAGCTTAATCTAATTGATTATTCGGAAATTATAGTTAAAGCAGCACAAAAATATAATTTAACAATTCATTCAATAACCAACCACCGACCTTTTGACATACTACTTAATAAAATCAAACACAAAGATATTTCTAAATTATTGCAACAAGCTCAAGAGAAAATGTTGCATTTCCACAATAAAGATAGACAAAATAAGAATTATCACGTAGGAGAGGTAATTTACGAAAAGAAACATGGGGAAAGAAGCAAGCTTAATTCTAGATACAAAAAACAAGTAGTTAAGGAAAAGCTCCCTAATAAAGTTATTATAAATAACAGAAACCGTACGATTCATAAAGATAATATTAAATAATTTGTTTCAAATTACAGATAATGATTTCAATAATGTACTTATTATTGCTGGTAGCTACAACCAAATCCGAAATTATGGATTACTCGAACCATGATTTCCTTCTTTACAAGGATACCAAAGATGTTCTTATTTATGAATCATACGCAGATTTATTTCATATAACTAATATAAGTCTTTATAGAGATATAATTAGTCTTGAAACAGAATTTCTAAAGAGTCACGACAGCAACAATTTTCTTTGGGAAATATCCCACGATTTAAAAATTATCCAAATACTTATCTCCCAAATTATACCCAGTAGATCGAAAAGAGGCAGTAATGAAGTAGGCACTATTTGGAAATGGATAGCGGGAACACCAGATCATGATGATTTCATAACTGTCCAAAATTAAATCGATGATTTAATACAAAATAATAACGAACAATTCGATATTAACTCTAAAATATATAAAGAGATAAAATCTTTATCTGAAGAATTCAAAACAGCCTTTAAAGATCAAGAAATTCGGCTTAGAAAATATCGTCTGCGCTTGCTTACTTACGATCCTATGAATTTAATGGACACAATAACACTCGCCAAAATTAATGGATTTAATACTAAAATTCTAAACAATGACGATATACAAGAAATTTATAAGCACGAAGATAGACCTGTAATTATAACAGACCTTTTAGATATATCTGAACTTAAAATCGCTTTGCATCAAGATCTTATTATAATTTACATAAAATACCCCATTATTACCGACCGTTTACAATTCAAGATCGATTTCAAATGATGATGGAAAATTATTAATTGATAATCACGTCGCAAAATGTAGAAATAAGTACTATGAAATGTCAAATTTTAAGACAGAAATATTTAATAATTATTGCACACTTAGCCCAGAAGGATCTTGTTTCACCAGATTACTAAATGGAGAAAAATCTTTTTGTAACAAAATCAGAGAAAAAAATAAAAATGTTGATGTAATTCAAGATGGAGCCATTTTTGTAAATGGAGAAAATACAGTTAATGACACTCATTTAAATGGGTCATATTTAATTACTTTTAATGGCACCTCTATAATTAATAATATTTCATACACCAATGTAGACAATAAGATATTGGAATACATCACAGCTCGGAAATATACAGATTTCTTAATATCCAAATATATTATATCTAATGATTCGGAACTCTCATTTGATAATATTAACATACTAAATCCATTTGTTCAAATTAAACAAACTAAAATACAAGTTATGTTAATATTAATCATATTCACATTTATATATTTAATTATAATGATTATAATAAAATTCAGAAAATTTTTATTTATTTATTTATTCGTATATAAATCGAACCAGAAAGCAATATTTACGATATTGAGATAAATAATATCCCCGACAATGAAAATACCCTAGAAGAAAATATCATTGTCGAATTAACCAATCAATTACATTCAATATACCCATCAGTTCCAATGAATCGGGACGATTCAATTTAGAATGAGGGGAGTTTTATGACACATTATTTAGGGGCTCTTACCCAGTTTATAAAAAACTTTGAGCCGAGAGCTAATATCCAAATAACTCTGACAGACCCGAGAGAAATCCGTGGTCAGCTATTTCTGTCAACCAGACCTCCAAATCATTCCCACCCAGATCAATTTCACGCAGTCCGAATCAAACGGATGCTGTAAACATCCAAACCGATATTGTAAACAATCGGAGTCCCAAACGAGCCCTGAGTCCGCTAACGTAAACAAAAGATCCCCAAAGCGAGTGCCGAGTCCTCTAACGTAAACAAAAAGATCCCCAAGGCGGTCCCTAAACTCCGCTAATGTAAACACCAATTTCCGGCCAAGATTGGACTTCGAATTTAATTGGCAAATTGCATCATCCTATTTTTCGACTCTCTTGAGTCATTCTCTTTATCAATTTTTGGGGATAAAATCTCTTAAGCCGAGGTTTGATTATTGATCATTGAACTAGAGAGCAGGCAGACCGTTTTTGAGATCCGAATCGAGCAGTACAACAATTCGAGAAAAAGAGCAGTGAATTAAATAAGTTCGACCTATTGAAAAATTGTAATAGTGAATGAGTGATTGTTAAAATAAAAATAAATTTGTTTAATCGATTCACTAGTGAGAAACTTTATTTGCATATGTCCTGGGGCGGGAAAGATGCAGGTCGCAATTTCCATCTGAGACAAAAAAAACCAAAAAATTTTATATTTTCAATAGTGTAGCTTCTAGTTAAACCTAATAAATTGAACATAAAGCAAGAAAATCAAAAAAATTTTTTTTAAACCTAAAAAATTAAACAAAAATAAGAAATTCAAGTTTTTTTTTTAATTAAAAAAATTGCTATTTTTCCAAAAAAAAAAAAATGTACTTTATGTTGTGTAAAAAGTGGGTTAATCATAACTTTCTTAAGTTGTTTTAGGTTCAACTAAAAGATAATTTTATCACGACTACAATAAATGTTATCTCGTTCCGATAGAACGTATACTTTTTCCCAATCTTTCTCGCCAATTAGGTAACATCATAAAAACGAAAAATTGAGAAATCGCACGACAAAGTTTTCCGGCTGCTCGTCTACTTGCTCGACGCTTGCTTACTAACTCTTTCGTAACTTTTAAAGTACTTGAAATTTGTTTGGGAAAAATTGGGGAAACATTCTTGGTTAGTTTAAGTACATATTTATACAAAAAAAAATCGATTTTTTGGAGATTCTAAAGCAGGTGAATCACTTTTAACGATAATAAGAAAAAAAAATTTCATTTAAATTTTTACAAAATATTAAAAAAAAACAAGGAAGAACGCTATAGTCGAGTACCTCGACTATCAGATACCCGTTACTCAGCTAAATGGAGATATGCAAGCAGCAAAGCGAGATTAAAATGCGCCACCTACCGGCGGTATACAGATTTAAGCGTTATGGGCGTTAGAGTGGGTGTGGCAAATTTTTTTTGGATCAATCGATAGGTATTGACGAGACCAATACATTTCAGTTAAAATTTTTTATCTAGCATGAAAATTGTGGGCGTCACAGGTTTTCGCGGCTTATGGGCGTTAGAGTGGGCGTGGCATATTCGCGTAATAAACTTGCGCTGCGTATACGGCTACGGAATCTAAATCTGAAATCCCAATTCTCTCTTTGATAGTTTCCGAGATATCCACGTTCATATTTACGATTTTTTGAAGTTTGTGGGCGGTTTATGGCGTTAGGGTGGGCGTGGCAAACATTTTTTTTGGGTCAATCGATAGGTATTGATGAGAACATTACATTTCAGTTAAAATTTTTATTCTAGCATCAAAACTGTAGGAGCCACAGTTTTAGGCGATTTGTGGGCGTTAGAGTGGGCGTGGCACTCTACTGAAACAAACTTGCGCTGCGTAAGAAGCTCAGGAATCT